TACCGTGAGGCCAAGCGTGTCGCGGCCCGGGCGGTTGCAGAGGCAAAATCTCAGTCCTGGGAGGAGTTCGGAGAGGCCATGGAAAAAGACTATTGGTTGGCCTCAAAGCGACTCTGGAAAACCGTCCGGCGTCTCCGGAGGGGAAAGCAGTGCTTCGCTAATACCGTTTTCAGTGGGAGTGGGGAGCTGCCGACCTTGAAGGAGGATATTGTCGGGCGGTGGAAGGAATACTTTGAGGATCTCCTCAACCCGACAGACACGCCTTCCGCTGGGTAGGAAGAGACGGGGTACTTGGGGCTGGATTCGTTCATCACCCAGGCTGAAGTCACCGAGGTGGTCAAAAAACTCCACGGTGGCAAGGCTTCGGGGTAGGACGAGATCCGTCCTGAGTATCTTAGAGCTCTGGATGTTGTCGGGCTGTCACGGCCGACACGTCTCTTCAACATCGCGTGGAGGTTGGGGACAATTCCCCTGGATTGGCAGACTGGGGTGGTGGTTCCCCCTCACAAGAAGGGTGTGTTTTTGTTTTTTTTCTCTCCCCATAGTTTTTCACTAAACAATAGCACACCAGACTTCATTCATCTTATCAAGTCATCATGATCAGATTGGACTCACTTCATGAGATGACTGGAGTCTGGTGTGGTATTGCTTGGTTGGAAAGAAAACCTGCAGCCACACGGCCCTTTCTGGAACCAGTTTGACATCCCCGGTCTAGAGTCTGTTTGAAGAAAGGCTGCACTTGTAATGAGAATTTATTTCAATAGAATTTAGATCTTTCTCCTAGACTACTGGCTCACATACAAAAGGTATGGCCAATGTCAACTTTAGAAAGAATGTTAACCAAGGACAGTTTGAAGAAAGGTATCATAACAGCGGTTTATAACTTAATGATGTTACAAATTTCAGAAGGATCTCATGATAGACTTAAGGGTTGGAAAGAAGACTTATCGATTGTGTTAACAGAGGAAGACTGGAAGACAGCAAGAAAATTGGCCCTCACCAGCTCTATTAATGCATCTCTTAAAATGATTCAATAGAAATGGCTAATGCGTATTTACATAACACCAGTAGACCTCATTAGGTATAACTGATGTATATCCAAAATGCATAGGGGATAGAGGGACTCTATCTCTGGTTCACTGTATGTGGCATTGAAGAGAAATTATACAGTTTTGGAAAGAAGTAAAAGGTGCTATAAAAAAAACATAATTTCCAAACAAATAATTTTTGAGCCAAGGTTGTTTGTGTTTGGATTATTCCCTGAAAAACATATTTACACAAAAAATGAACGAGTGTTTATAAACTTAAGTTTGCTTAATGCGAAGAGATGTATGTATATCTATGTTTTGGAAAAAGACTCACAGAGCGAGCATAAACCAATGGCTGCAGCAGATGTTATCTGTCCTCCCTCTAGAAGAAATCTTTTATATATTAAAGGACAAACAGGACCTGTTTGAATCATTTGGAACTCCTTCATTAATTATGTTAATTATGTGACTCTGAAAATGTAAAAAAAATGGTGCAAGTGATTGAAGAACATGTGAACGGCAGTTCCCAAAGATTATTTATTGGAGGACATATACTGTCAAATGTAATTCTCAGTATAAGAGGCTAAGCATGAAATGTGATCAGTCGCATTGGAACAAATGTTGTGTGAGGCAATTTGTTGTCTGTATTTTATTTTGACTTGAACAGTAACGTAACTATTGCTGTGATTATATTCTGTATATTGTTCAAAATGTTTGTTTAAATTGCTAAAATTTGAATAAATATATTTTGGGGAAAACAAATTTTTGGCCAATACATGTAAAAAAAAACTGTCAGTAATACATGATTTTTACATTGACTTAATTGCAGGTCCCATGCAGGTTGAAGTTTATAAAGAGAAGCTCTGTGTTTACACCTTTAAGCTTTCTTTACCCAATTCTTTCCTAGGGGACACATTCATCTGAATAACAGTTAATATTGTAGGCTATGTATATTAAATAACCATGAGACATGACAACAGATCTTAATTGAAAATGTAATCATACTCAGACCAGAGATGTTGCTTAGGGTTACAGAAGACAACGCTTACCAACCCGGCTCGCCCCGAATCACAGTTAAGGAAGCATTTTATGCAACTCCAATTCCTATCCCACGTCATCACATCATACATCTTTGAAAATGAGGAGACATCCATGTCTTCAGCTTTATCAAAATATTACACTATATTGTATGTATGTAGATCAGAGCCACTGTTCTCACTGCATTACCAAACCATTGCCATGATATGATACGACATGATAAAGATGTCTTTTTATACTAACAGCAGCCAGCATTGAGAACACCGAAGTCATGTCCTCTGTATTTTCATGTTTTTTTTTCTTGTTTTGTTCTTTTTTTTTTTTTATTCAAAGAATTGTCAAACTATATGATGAAAATTGTTCTGACTTTGATCGGTGTGAAAATCAGCATACATTCTCATTAGTTAGGGAAAAAAAATAAAGCCCATATTATTGCATGTCATTTGATTCATTTAGTGGGCCATGCACATGCATGGTGATGATGGTGACAATAATAATAGTAGTTATAATAATTCAATATTAATAACAGCAAAAATAATAATATAGTATAATGATGATTATAATAATAATAATAACAGTCACTCATACTCACTCACTCAAATACTCTAATTTTGTGAGTTTTGGAATTGTTATAATAAACATGTTCATATTTACCTCCTTGATGGGCTTGTGATTTAACTCTTTACTCACGTTTCCAAATATGTTTTAAAAAGTCACCATATTAGGATGTTTTTTAAGTAAGATTTATGGCAATAATTGACCTCGGTATTGCAATAATCCTGGTTACAGCGCTGACTGACAGAAGAACTGTACTAATNTCCCATGCAGGTTGAAGTTTATAAAGAGAAGCTCTGTGTTTACACCTTTAAGCTTTCTTTCCCCAATTATTTTCTAGGGGACACATTCTTTTGAATAACAGTTAATATTATAGGCTATGTATATTGAATAACCATGAGACATGACAACAGATTTTGATAGAAAATGTAATCATACTCAGACCAGAGAAGTTGCTTAGGGTTACAGAATACAATGCTTACCAACCCGGCTCGCCCCGAATCACAGTTAAAGAAGCATTTTATGCAACTCCAATTCCTATGCCACATCATCACATCATACACCTTTGAAAATGAGGAGATATCCATGTCTTCAGCTTTATCAAAATATTACACTATATTGTATGTATGTAGATCAGAGCCACTGTTCTCACTGCATTCCCAAACCATTGCCACGGACATGATAAATATGTCTTTTTATACTGACAGCAGCCAGCATTGAGAACACCAAAGTCATGTCCTCTGTATTTTCATGGGGGTTTTTTCTTGGTTTTTTTTTTTTAATTCAAAGAATTGTCAAACTATATGATGAAAATTGTTCTGACTTTGATCGGTGTGAAAATCAGCATACATTCTCATTAGTTAGGGAAAAAAAATAAAGCCCATATTATTGCATGTCATTTGATTCATTTAGTGGGCCATGCACATGCATGGTGATGATGGTGACAATAATAATAGTAGTTATAATAATTCAATATTAATAACAGCAAAAATAATAATATAGTATAATGATGATTATAATAATAATAATAACAGTCACTCATACTCACTCACTCAAATACTCTAATTTTGTGAGTTTTGGAATTGTTATAATAAACATGTTCATATTTACCTCCTTGATGGGCTTGTGATTTAACTCTACTCACGTTTCCAAATATGTTTTAAAAAGTCACCATATTAGGATGTTTTTTAAGTAAGATTTATGGCAATAATTGACCTCGGTATTGCAATAATCCTGGTTACAGCGCTGACTGACAGAAGAACTGTACTAATTAGATAAAGTGGCCTACATGTGAAACATTAGTTCTCACACACTGATCTCTATATATTTATTTAGAGATCAGTGCAGGTAGGTAGCCCATTATTAGGTTAACGGTCTCACACATCATCAATTAAAATAATCCTAACAAATTGATTCTGAATGATGAATAACATCTTCTTCTTATTATTATTATTATGTTTTTTTTTTATTGGCGGATGGCAACCAACTTAAGGTGCATTTACCGCCACCTACCAGACTGGAGTGATGCTATCAATGATGTCAGAGGGAAGTTATTAATTAATACCTCAATGATATGAACGAATCTGCTTATTATCTATCAATCAATATCTATAAAAAAAAACTCACATAAAAATTAATATGAGTGAATATTCACATGCATATACACACTTATATTCTTTATTTAAATACGTTTAAATAATCCAGTGTTTTTAAAAAATCTAATTAACTGTTTTCAAGCAGAATTAAATGTATTTCCTAGAAGGTTTATCATTGAAAATCCATTTTTTCTCTATTTAGTGTTAACTTTAATTGCTGGCAATACCTATTATATTCCATTAATACATGTTCCACTGATTACAGTGATTACAAGTCCCTGTGTCATGTTTCCCTATTCTGAAAAGAGAACTATTAAGTCCAGTAAATGAAAAACATCATGTTAGTTTTTTTTTGTTTTTTTTTAAAGCCCAGATCCCTCCTTAAATTCAACCGGAAGTTTAATTTATCCCATAACTCTCTGCAGCCGTGACTGAAGCGCTTCATTGCGCGACAAACGATCTGTTGCGATGAAAACAAAGTGGCAATTTTTTATTATTTTATTTATTTCTATTTCACCGCCTGTCTCCACAGCGCACCCATATAAAAGGTTATTTACTACTAACAGAAAAGAGTTAAAAGCCATTAAAGCGTTTACAGCAGAGGATAGAAGATCAAACCAGAGAATCTCCAGAAGCACAAACCCTGCATCACAGCACAGGTGGAGGTCAGTCCATCCCACCATGCTGGGGTCTCCCACTGTAATTCCAGTAAACTTAGAACCCAGCATTCAGTCCTCCGTCTCGGTCACCTGCTCCCCATCCGGTTTTGTTGTGCGCGTAAACCCAGCTTTCTACGGATTAGGCGCAGATGATCAGGAGCTGACGCTGGGTAGGAACTGCAGAAGCAACGGGGTTCTCAGGCCGCAAGGTGATCTGCTCTTCACCTATGCCCTGACGGCCTGTGATGGGGTGCAGGAGGTAAGACTATATACTTGTGTGACAACTATTATTTATGAAATACCAATTTCTATCCGTCTTACGCACAGCTACCGCCCGGTTATCTGGTCTATAAATATGTGCTCCACTATGAACCGTCTCCAAAACGGTTCCCAAGCAGAGCGCACCAAATGGATGTCAACATTGAATGTCATTATCCGAGGTTAGACCTGCTTTTAGTCATTTTATAGCGTGCAGTTTGTATGAAAGGGGAAATGACTTTTAATATTCCTTATCCTGCAGAGACCATTCTGTCTACCTGCTGGCCATTCAGCCCACATGGCAAACCGTTATTCTGCTTAAAAAACTCAAGGGACGATCCATGGAGTTCCAAATCAACATAATGGATGGTAAATAATTCAGAACCCCTTTCTTTTCCTTCGATATACTGTTTCCTTGCAAGCATGATGAATTGTGGGGAGATTTGTGAACAGAGGCGTAGCCAGAAAATTTTAATAGGGGTGGCCAGTCAAAAAACAAAGTAAAGTGAGGGGTGGTCAAAAGTGGATCGGCGCCAGAACCTCAGGGTCCATCTATACTGTTCCAACAGGAACGAGCACAACATCCATATTTTCTAAATACAGAAAAACTATACTTTCCTACAGCCTTTTGATTACAAACAGATGCATATATTTAAACATCAGTGCTGTCTATATCAGAATCAGAAATACTTTATAATCCCAGAGGGAAATTACTTTTGTTACACGCTCCAGTTACAGTATATATATATATATATATATGAAACTGTATTAGAGGGTGAAAAAATATGGTAGGGGTGGCCAATGTTTGTGAATTCTCAAACTCACAAAAATTACCCCTGTTTGTGAATTCTCAAACTCCTAAAAATACCGTTTAGATTTCAGAATAAATTACACGTATCCATCTGGTGTATGCAAGGATGGGTATAGTAGAACGTTCTTTAAAAGGGGAACATCTAAATAGTTGAAAAGTCTGCAGGCCTATTAATTTACTCTTCAATGTGTGAGGCTTTCTCATTACATAAGATGGTTTGTGTTTTGTTTTGTTTTGGGGTTTTTTTTGTGTTCGCCAAACCTTTTTAAGTTCTAGAGGACAATCTTTTATTTCCGGGTGGATCGTCTAAATAAGTGGTCCTCCTAACTGTCAATCATACTGGTGAAATGTAACGTAAGGCCGTCCTACATGCTTGTCCCTTTACCTATCTTTTTCTTCCCATGTGCACTTTCAGGCATATATCTGTGGTAAGCTACGGTTTCAGGCAATCATTGAAGCTCACCTTTCTCACCGCGGTTCTTTGAAAATGGCCAAGGGTCGTAAGAGAAAAATTGTCTATGAAGTGTATCAGAAGAAAACAAAGAAAACAAAGGGCTCAGAAGAGGCAGATATATCCCAGAATGCTTTGCGCAGAGAGCACTTCTCTGTAAGAGATCCATATCTGTAAAATGTTCATCCACAATTGAATAATTCTCTTACCCACCTGATAAATCTCCAACCTCAGAGTTGTCTACAAATGCCATAAGCAGTTGTTCTGCTTTAGAAAATGGAGTTTTCCCTGTAATGGAAAAAAAAAAATAAAAAATCAACCCTAGATTTAGATAAAAATCTATACCCCAGTATGGTGGCTAATGTATGATGCAGCTTGTAAGATATTATGTTATTTGGTTGAAAAATCTTGTACTTTCAACAACTATCAACACTTGTTAATTATTTTTACATATTTGCAGTTATAAAATTTTATTATGTGACGAAATACCACTTACAATAACCATTTACATTTATATACTCTAAATATTCTCAGGTCTGTCTAACCACATGGCACAGTCAATAAGAAAATATAGCCCACATTTCCTCAATTGTTTTCTTTATCTTTACAGAGGCATCAGTGGTAAAATCTCAAATTTGCATGCCTTATGAAGTTACCAGCATGAAATATAATTTTGATTTTTACCCATGCCATTTTCTTATGAGAGTTGTTAAGCTTTTTACTATGATACCTGCCATCTTTTCACTCAAATGAGTGTAATATTGTCACGCCACCACTAGATGGTGCTGTGTCAGAATCAAAAATGCAAAGTTTGCATATAAGAGACACAGGGTCTCAGAGAATAAAGATAATACATTTTTAACTGATGGTTTCAACTGAGAAGTGAAATATTTTTTTATTGTTTAGACTTTAAGAATGAAAGAAATAGTTTAATTAGATTTATTTTTTGTACCCTTTCAAAAGTGCAAACCATAACCATAGTTTATTGTTACCAGCTACAATCTGATGCGTTTGTACGCAAATAGGTCTGGCTATGTGAAAACTATTTATCCCGCTTTGATTTAAGATCACCAAATTAAAATTTACAACCGCTCCCATATTCCAATAAATCTGAATTTAAATGCTCTTAGCGGTGCAATTGTTTTCAACAGGAGGTACTTTACCTCAAATTCTGCTCAGGGCCGTATACCAACTTGGTCTAGTTATGATTGTAACCTTGGAAAGCTCCAAAACAAATCCAATTTTCATCAAAAATCTTTTAATCCTGATGCAGTTTAATTTGGACTAGAAACAAATCTCCAATAAATAACTCGTCTGTGGAGCGTAGATGATTCATTTTTTTTTCTCTGCTTGGTGGAGCTTAAACTTTAAAGTTGTGTTGTGTTTCTTAAAATCAGTGGATCTGACGCTTATTAACTTTGTACAGTATTCTAAATTACCGGTATGCATGCATCTGTACACTAAGAGCATTCCAGTCTATTAAATCATTTGAATGTTTGTCAGTTAAAAAGTTTCTTTTTAATAAAAGGAGGATCCTTGTTCTTCCATCACTTCATTCATTGCAAACTACTAGAAAGTCAGTGCTTGCTCACCAAAAGTTCACAACAGGAATAGAGGCCCCTTCTGCAGCTTGTATATGGTTTAAATATTTTTCCGTTTACCTAAAGGACAAATAAAGTTATCTAAATTCTTTAGCATTTATTTTAAATTGAGTGGAACTAAAAATAATTATTTACCATGAAAGTGATAATGTATCACTGTCTTTATTCTATCTAAAGCTTTGAGCAGTTTTGTGCTTATTTACTAGAAAATAATTCAGCATCAGTAACTCCAGAAAAAAACATTTATTCATTTGTAACTTCATACAAGCTATTTGGTAATTGTTTGGTTGTTTTTTTTACACTGACATGAATTCTGTACATTTCTCCTGTTTTAAATGGCTTATAGATTCATGGAAAACAGCAGAACAGTCTCAGGTCTACCTGCTCGGACAAATTGTGAATATCCAAGTCTCTGCACCTCACTTACCTCCCGGATTAAAGTTATACATCAACAGCTGCTATGCAGCACCGTCCAGTGGCTCCAGATTCTCCCTTAAATATACCTTTATAGACAACTTTGGGTATGTATTCAGGAAAGACATGTTAGGTTTTTTTGGGTTGAATATTTGATCTAACTTTTTTGTTTCATTTAAACTTACAGCTGTATGCTGGACAGCAGATTTGAACCTGGATCCTCTCGGTTCATTTCCCGGACAGATACGACCCTGAGATTCTCCTTGAGGACCTTCCAGTTCACAGCAGACCCTGACACTAAGGTTTAGATGGCAAATAAATGATGGCACAGCTCCAGCTTTAAGTACATCAGTAAGAGAGATAATTTTGCTTCATTCATAGGTCAGCATCCATTGTAAGTTATCAGTCACATCAGAGGGTCCAGGACCTGCTCATAAATCCTGCACCTACCAAGACCACAGGTGAGCAAAGATGAGTTCTAACAAAAAAGAAAAAGGGGGACTTCATATATTTATTTTTTGCAGATGAACTGTTCTAATTGATTACAGGTGGAGAGCCCTTACTGGTCAGGACTCTATATGTGAATGCTGTGAGTCAACATGCAGACGCTCTGAACCCCAGACAGCATTGTTGGAAGGTCTGTCAGTTCAGCCATTTTACCTACTTCTGAAACTCTGATTAGTTACATTCCTTCTCTGTTTACAAAACCATTAATAGTTTAGTTTAAAATAAAATCTGAGCATTAACAATGGAGAAAATTAAAATTTGACTTTTGCCAGGACTAGTAGGTAAAGAAATTAAGAAAATGGTTTGTTAACTACATCTTAAATAAATATTGCTTTGGGTCATCACCCCAAACAGTCCAAGGTCCCTGCATAAAAGCTGAGTGATAATCAGTCAATCAACCATCCTTCAAAATCTATTCTATGATCAATTGAAAAGTAAATGCCTTTAGTTTGCTGTATTGTATGCCCTAAATTTTAAGTGAACTTAAAACCCTAAAATGACACTCTGTCGTTAATTTCAAAGGTTTCGCCATAAGTAGACCCTTAGTGGTCTCGGATCAGCCACACACATCGGAGAGTGGGTCCCAGAAAAAAAGCCAATCTGCTGTCGGCAGGACAAGGGAAGACGGCGTACTACTTTACAAAGACCTAAATGATAATCAGCAAATTTGTGAGGATGTGGTTTTTGAAAAGGATGATGATTATGATGATGAGGAGGATGAAAACGATAATGAAAGGCTTGAAGAAAGTGAAACCATCCATGGATCCATAACAAAACCAGAATTGGAGTTGGCCCATAGTAGCAGGGTCTTGGAAGACCAGTGGATGGAGTCCAGCTTATCAAATTTAAAAGAGTTTACAGAGGGTGTCACAGCATATGGGGATGTTTTGTTAGAGAATAAAGAAAAAGGTGGAGCAAGCAAGGATGAAATCCCTAAAGAGCTGACAATTCCTGAACACCATAAGAAAGATGATTTGCCTCATCCAAGAGGACAACTGGAGGATGGATTTGCAGGAGTTGGCTTAGAGGGGAGACTAAAACCCCACCACCCCAAGGAAGAAAAAATAAAGAAACCTGGATGTCGAGAGGGGGGTGACTGGAGAATGAAGTCAAAGATGCAAGGACAAAACGAACAGGAGGAAACGTGGTATTTCACATGGAGCTAAAAATGATCCACCCATTTAAGGATTGATCTAAGACTCACTTGTGTATAATAAATGAAGTCCAATTTTCCTGAGTGAATTTATCATTTAGAGAAATTTTTCTAGGGTGATTAAACTACAAGAAAATATTCTGATCAAGTTGTAGCTAATCAGCTATAATTATTTTTGACTGTACACTTCTGTTTAGGAATATCATGTGTTTGTCAATATATTTTCCAGAATTATTAAGGCTATATCTGAACTAAAGTTTTGACTTTAATTTCAAAATAAAGACTAAAGAAAGAAAACATTGCTGTCATAGTTCCAACCTTGGAGATTTTTTTTATGGGGTCGTTTCAGATCAAACAGTTGTAATATTTTTGCATGAGAACCAACATAACATAACCTAACGTGAAGTTTGCTAATCGACATAAAAAAATAAAATAAAAGGCAGTTAAGCAAAATCTTTTGTATGCAAAAATTAAAAAAACTGAACAGTAGTTAACCTTTCCAGGTGGGGTGGGCCAATCAGAACTCCATCAGCAGAACTGCTTTTCTCAACCAAAACATCCTGAAGATGAATGTGTGCTTCAGTTTTTCAACTAAAACTTAATAGTACAAGGATTATGCAACAGGACAATGACCAACTCAAAAATAAAGTGTATAACATAGTGTAAGTCTGGACTAGAATCTGATAGAGATGCAATGGCAGGTCCTTAAACAGGCTCTTTATGCTCAAAATTCTTTAAGATTGTATCAGAATGATGTAAAAGACCTTTTACTGTAAATAAGCAATGAGTTGGTACTGTTTGATAAGTTACAAGGGGTGGCACAACTAGTTATTACGCTTAGAGAAAAAATACATTTTCACATTGATCAAGGCTGGTTGCTAAAATGCATTAGCATTCTGATATGTGACAAAGCCATAAAAATTGCAGGAAACAATGATTTGGTCACAAGTGTTTAATTTTGCTTTATGAATGATTATATCCTCTGTTACAGTCACTAAAACCAACATGAATCTTTATGATTCAACAAAATGAAGTTGGAACTGCGAGGGAAAGGCATTGCCCCCATCATCAGCAACTAAAAGCAGCAGGAAATTGGCTTCAAATGACTTGCATTGCTTTATATGCATATATTTTCTTGTCTTGCATAATTTAACAATGTTGGATTTATGATATGAGTGATCATTCCTTTCCACAAAGTGTAGGCAAACTTTGCACTGAGTGAAATCTTCTCTGGGGAAACCCAATGAAACAACAGAAATAACTTAATATATTTTTTAAACAAATATAATTGCTATGAAATATCTTTTGGGAAATATACAGAACTCTTTGAAACACATCCATAATTATTAGATATGTTAAATAAAATGTTTTATATATATAAACAAACACAAAGCAGCTCCCAAAGATCCCATTGATACAAGCAAAGACAGAAGCTCTGATTCAGCAGGACGTATTGATGTAATTACTTGTAGATGCTAGACGGCAGCACATTACCTCCATATTAAACAGCAAAGCACAGAAGACCCTCTGGTAAGAAGATACACGTTTGCTTTCACAAAAAGGCTAAATCAGTTTTTATGAAAATTAAGACCCACACCATTAACATGAAACTCAAACTATGTCCTAATGCATAGATTCTGAATACAGGGTTCTGATCAGTTCAAATCCAGTCATTTCACAAACAATGGCATTAACAAAAAGTCACTGGTATTTGGTATTTAGTCCTTCCAAGGTCTCCTTCAGGCTTGGCAATCATGCTGATTATGTCCCACCCTGAACAGTACCTGCTGTCCCGTTGATTTCATCAGTGGCATCTGCAGTTTGAAGAGTAGAGAGGATTAGATTGGCATTGTGTACGGCTATGAGTATAATGCTAATGCACACGATTGAAGCAGCAAAAGCAGCTGGTTTAAATGCAATTGGTTGACGTGTATCAAGGCAAATCAAAAGGTCCTGCAGCGCGTTTTGAGCAGCAGGAGCAGCGCATCTTGACGCATCTGAGCAGCTGAAGCAACGGCTCGTAAGCTTCTGACGCACTGACGTGCTTCACAAGCAGGAGCTGCTGGAGCTTAAAAAATGTAACTTTTGGTGTTTAACGCGCCACATCAACCAATCAGAGAAGCTGATCTGGGAGCTGGCAGGGAGACAGACAGCACTGCTAATGCAGATTGCTGTGATTCCTCCTGTGAAACAGTAATTAACGCCTAAATTGACAAAACATTTTGAAACCTGCCGCCAAAATATGTTTGCTTTAATTATTCTGGTGCGTGCAGTTTGGATTATGTACATGAAAACCGCTAAAATCTCCTTCCAGCCGCCATGAACAGTAGCGGAAAATCCCCAAGAGGTGACCGGGCCAGAGGCAGCTGTTGCTGGAGATTTTCCAGGGACAGTGCACAGCCTGGGGTTTTTAATACTGGTCTGACAGCGAAATAATATTTAAAGCAATTATAGCAAAACCGCTTTCTGCCATTGAACACAGGAGTATTAGATGCATCGGACACATCTATACACACTTAACTGGACGAAGATGCTGTTGAGACGCATTGAACCTTAATGTGTACGAGCATCAAAAATTAAACATCAGGTGCATTTTTGCTGCTGAAATCGCGTTACATGTGACTGTGGCATAAAACAGCTTATTTGCTTATTAGCAGTTAAAGCAGCATAGATCTGTGCAAAGTAAAAACTGTTCAATTAAAAAACATTTAAGTATAATGTTAATTTTGTTCAAATCTGTTCTTCCCACTGGTGTGGAATACTGAAAAACTCTTCTATTATTTCATATTGGTCCTACCTTTGAGGCCATCTTGCTGTGCTTCCTGACCTGCAGTTTGCTCCACAGCATCATTGGTATCTTCCTCTTTACCCTTTGTTTTTGGTTTCTTAGCAACAGGTGGTGGCATTTTTCTTTCCATCTTTGAGTCTCCTTCACTCTCCACCTTTTTCAGAGAAAAATCAACATTTTTCTTGTCCTCTTCCTTTTTCTCCACAACTCCCATCTTGCTGCTTTTGGAGAAGATAAAGCTTGCTGTGCTGGTCGGTGATCTAAAGTCTAGGGGGGACAAAGGTGAGAGGCGAGAAGCAGGACCCTGTTTTGATCTAGCAGCTGTCCTGAGGCGGATAGCCTCTTGCAGGTTCATGGAGCCAGAGGACGTTGTGGCAGGAGGGGACTTTTTTATTGGAGAGACAATGGATGGTGAAGTTGTGGATGGAACTACAACAGGTTGAGACTGAGTCAGAGTTTGTTGTGAAGTGATTGTGGCAGGTGGTGATGTGGATGTGGTAGAAGTCACGATTAAAGATTTTCGAACAGGCTTCTGAGGAGCCTCACTGTTGGAAGATGAGGTTGGAAGCTCTTTGTCTGGCAACTGTTTGTTCACCGGGGCCTCAGGTTTTGGTTGCTCTTGAGATTCAAGTGATACGGAGCCGTTTATGGAAACAGGTTGGACCTTCTGCACACTAGATGTACCGTTGGACACTGATTCTTCGTTTGCATCCTTGACTGTTTCCTCTGGTTCAGGGCTGTTGTTGATGGACCGTAGCTTTACCTCCTGGAGAAAAGATGGTGTTGCCTCCTCTTTTACACCTGTGGTAACATCAGGGGGTTCAGGGCTGTTGTTCACTGACCGAAGCTTCACCATCTGCAGATGTGATGATGTTGAAACAGAAGGGGGTTCCTCATGGACACCTTTAGAAAAAACAGTCTCTTGAGATTCAGATGGTTCAGGGCTTTTGTTGATAGCCTGCAGCTTGACTGTCTGTTCTGATGGTGAAGTAGAATTGGACACCAGTTCCTCGTTTCCATCCTTGATGGCTTCAGCTGGCTCTGGGCTGTTGTTGATGGAGCGTAACTTCACCTTCTGGAGAAAAGATGGTGTTGGGTCCTCTTTAACACTCCCGGCTAATTCTGGGGGTTCAGGACTGTTGTTTACAGAACGAAGCTGGACTATCTGTAGAAGCGATGACGTTACAATGGAAGAGGGTTCCTCTTGGACACCTTTGGAAGAGGCCTGCTCTTGAGTGTCAGCGGGTTCGGGGCTGTTGTTAACAGAACGAAGCTTGACCATTTTCAAGAGCGAGGGGGTGATAACAGTAGTTTGCTCCCTATTTATATCTGAGTCTCTGGCTGTTGCTTGCTGCTGGCTTTCTATGCTGAGAGGATGGTTATTGCTTGCGGGAACTTGTGCTGGCAAAGGTGGAGGCAAAGGAATGCTAATAGGATGAGTAGAAGCAAGTTCTTCTGCGTCATTCTGTGAAGGAACATTTCTGAACTCAGATGGTGGTAAAATTGGTGCCTCATCACTTCCTGTATCATTAGCAGACGGTTTGAGCTGGGAATCTGACGGGGGAGGGGGTGGAATACTCTGGGGGATTAAAATACTGTTTGGTAAATCTTGGGTATCAGGTACTGGTTGGATGTTCTTGTTTGGAAGATCCATCTCCTGCTTTGCAGGTTGGAGCTGTGTTGGTAGGGGTGGTGGAGGTGGAATACGCTCAGGTGCAGCCTGGTTGGTTAGAGGGGCTGCCTTTTCAGTGGTCTGAGGTGCTTCTTCAACTGGTAAAGTAGATACTGAAGACTCTTTTGTTTGGAGAGAGCTTGTTTTAGTCTCAATGGTTGGTAAGGAAGGGGCTGTATAAGGTGGGGGTGGAGGGATACATGATGATGTCAACTTCAAAGGTCCTTTCACTTCTTGTTTAGTCAACGAAGCTTCAGATAATAAATTCATGGAAGAAATTGGAACATTCTTGGACCCCTGAAAAGATAAATTTAGACCCTCCTCACCAAAGAATGGGGGAGGCGGAAGTGGAAAATCTAGTCCATCGGTTCCAGTGATGCTAACCTGAGCCATTGGTGGAGGAGGGGGAGGCCAGGCTGATTCAGGTGAAACAACTTGTACTGATGCGGAAGTTTCAATGGTCTGTATGTTGGTGGATTGGAGGGGGCCATCCACCATTGAGGGAGATGAGGAGGAAGAAATTGTTAATGAATCACTGTTTGACATCTCAGTAGCTTGACAGGGGATTTTCTGATCTTTTTGCTCTCTTATTACTGCTAGCCTTTCCTCATGTTTACCTACAGCCTTCGACAACATCTGATTTAAAATATCACATCCTCTCACTTTCTCTTCCTTACTGTTGCATTTTACATCCTGATTCTGAGAAAATCTTTCAGTGTTCTCTTTGCGGACATCTACATTTACGATCCCATTTTCTTGAACTTTCTTTGACTCTAGCGATTCATTTACAGGCTCCACTGTTAGCGCTGCATTCTTGTGCTTTCTTTCTAACGCAAAGCTTTTCACAGATCCTTCTCTAGACACACAGGGAGACTGTCTCTGCTGTCTCCTGTCCTTTGGATTTTTCTTTATGATGGCATAGATGTTGTCAGGAGCAGGGGGTCCCAGGAGTAACTCAAATGTACGTTTACTGTGAGCCCATACCTCAGGGGGAGGAGGTGGCGGGGCATGGACTTTGGGTGGGGGAGGGATGTTAAAGAGTTCTCTCAGGGTCTGAACCGATGGGCTGGTGCTGACTGTGTCGTGTTTAGGTTCCCAGGTAGATTTATCATTTTTAGCAACCTCTGGGTGGGTGGGGAGAGATGAAGGCAAACTAGTAGCGGTAGACCCAGTGAATAACCTCTGAAGCTTTGTTAGAAACCCCTTCTTGTGCTTTGGCGATGTGCTGGGAGGCTCTTTCGGGGATGTTCCATCTTGGCTGGAGTAACCACTGGATGGAGACAATAATCCAATGGGCTGTTTCTGCTTTTCTCCTGAAGCTTCTTTGCGATCCGTCACTGCTTTATTTTTTGACTCTTCTATCTTTGGGGCCTGAAGCTGAGATTTTTGAAAAGTGAATGATGCAGAGCCTGTGGAGTCATCAAGAGAGCTTGTATCCCCATGATAACCAGGACTATCTAAACATCTGGATGATCCAGAGTTCTTGGTCTCCTCTTCTTTACTCATGACTGTTGGTTCTACCTCAACCTCCGCCAAATCCTGGGATCTTCGTTTCATCTTACTGTGCAGGGAATAGGATCTGCTTGGCGGAGGTGGAGCTCTTTTGGACTTCATGACAGAGAGGCTACGCACAAACTGCCCATCTTTCTGCTCCCCTTTAATCATGACCTTGGGGTTGAGCATGCCATTTGCAAAATTGTTATCAACCTTTTCATCCTTCGCAGAAGTAACAACATCACGAGACGTGTTGCGTCTAGGGGTGCTCCTTGTAGAGATGGTTGAAGAGTCAGATACCAAGGTGTCTGAAGATCCTGACGTGCTCCAACAGGAGGCATCAGACAGATTTTGACCAATGTAGCGGGAGACAGAGGTGATGTTGGAGGATGTGGTTCTGGATGATGAGGCTCTGGAAGAAGCACGGGAGGGAGCTGGACTTGACAGCAGCAGGCTGCTCTTACTGACTGTGCGGACACTGCTGCGGCTGCGATTACGGCTGATTTCCACCACATCAATGGAGGGTGGCAGCACAGCATTTGGAATAATTTTGGACATGTAAGCAGCCTGGGGTGACATGGTCATGACGGGGCTAGGTGGCTTCTGTTGGAGGCTGGATGCAGTAGTCATCCAGGGCACAGCCAATGACCGAGGCCTCCGCTCATCTAGAGTGTGAGGACTCAGCCGGTGCAGCAGGGCCAAGTCGTCTCGGTGAGCAGCATGGGAGGCATTCAGCTGTGCAACTTTCTCTTTACTAAGTGGATGGATGATTTTAGAGGATTGAAAGCTGGCACCGGATTCTTTTGTTTTTTCTGCTTCTTGCTGTGGGCTCTCAGTCAGAGGGCTGTTGTCAGTATCTCCATTGTACACCTGCTCTTCATCCAGCCGCTGATCCACCGTCCAGCCTACTCTATCTAAGCCTGATGGAGATAAAAGGAAAAATAATAAATTACTAAAAGGCAAAAGAATAAAATATAAATTATTTTAAAAAATTTAATTAATACCAAGCTCTTTCTGAACATGTCGTGGAATCCCGGCAACAGTCCTCCTGTGACGCCTTCTTGTCCTGCTCTTTTCTGACTTTTTACCAGAGTTCAGTGGTCTGAATGTTGATCCTTAAAAAGCACAAGATAGATAAGGAACTGATACATGAACAGATGCTTTTATGTTCTCAAAATAATATACTACATTACCTAACAATTTTATTAAAAAAAATATCTGGAGACAGGAATTGACCTGAATAGTGATTATGTAGTTAGAAACTCAAAAAAAGTGGGTTTTCCTAATCAGTGAATGATCCATGCATAATTGCTACCAGGTCACAATGACCACAATCTTCTGGGTTGCCACCATAGTAGAGGTAAGAAAAAGATTTTTAGTCTCAGCGAGATGACTAAATAGTACAAGGAAGAACATAGATATATGCAGCTATTTATAAAGCCGTTCTTCATAAAATAGCTTGTCAATAGGAAAAGAGTATCGACCCAGTAAACATAAATTATAAAATACAGATAGCATTTGATTCTTCAGCATTCCGGGTACATTTTGGGTTCATTTGAGGTTCGTTTTTTGGTGTAGTCCTCGAATCAAATGTTTCTATTGCAAACGCATTGGCTAAATTTGTTTTTTTTATTTATCTTTAATGTTTTGCTTCCATGTGACACTTGCTGCACTTTGATTGACTTTTGGAATATCATCCGTTGGCCACTGGGAACATTTTATATCCAATCAGATTAATCCATGATATCCTTCAATGAAAGTATCAGCTTAGAGGGGCAGATGTATATCTAGTCATGTGGTATAAATATTGTTTACAATACATTACCTTGCCTGGTGAGTCCAGAGCGGGATGATCTTGCAGACACTGATGACTGTCTCGAGATGACAGATGAGGAATCAGCAATGGTACTGTCCGTCATAAATCCCGCACTTTCCCCATCGGTTTGGACCGTCACAGTGGACTACAAAAAATAAAATGTATTTAATGGGTAATTAAAACTTTCTTATTTATTTGAACTCAAAACCATCTTTTGTGCACCAAACTTACTACTGTGCTTTCATCATCTTTATACTCCACTCCATTACCATTTTCTGGGAGGGAAACAAAAATAAATCAAATATGTATAGAATCAATGCAGATTTTTACAAGCAATACAATCCCTTACTGTAAAATCTGCGGCACAAATATGTTGCATACCTTCTTGCTGCATCATTTTCAGCCCTTCAAGGGCCTCAGTGTGGAGATCCTCCACGTACTTGGACCTGCTGCCCTCTATAAAAACGTTCTCCTGGAACTGTGGGGGAGCTGGAGTCTTGTCGTCATCATCCATCTTTGGGACAGCTTGGTGGAGAGAAAACATAAAGCTGAATCAGCTGACATAAATTCAGAGCTTCTGGTGGCAAAAACTAACAAAACAGAAAAGGAATTTAGCAACACAAATTGTTAGTATGCAGAGGTGTCAAAAGTATTCATGTTTATTACTCAAGTAGAAGTAGAAATCTGACAGTTTGAAAATACTCTTTTAGAAGCTAGAGTATCAACTTAAGCTTTTCATTTAAGTAAAAGTGTAAAAGTACCATTTCTAAAACTACTTAAAGTATATAAATACTGCAGGAAAAATGTTAAGGACAGATGCTGTACTGCACCAGCCTATTAATGGTAAATTTTTATACAATTCTGGATGATGATTTCCTTAATCTTCTTAGTTTTATAACTACATAAAAGTAACAGTATCAAATGTTACTTTGCATCTTCTTGAAAAACTATGTATTTTGGTATGTGGTGAATAACAAGATGTTGCAGCACCACAAATAAATTGTCTGGAAAAAACATTATTTTGATGGTTTTTATTTTTCTTAAATACCAAGAGACCCTAACGAGAATGAGATGAATAAATAGATAAATGAAACAAAACTGTCTATTTAAAATGTAACACGTTTAAGTATAAAGTTGTCTAAAAAAATACTCAAGTAAAGTATGGATAGCCAAAATTTCTACTTAAGCAAGGTAATGAAGTACTTGTACTTTGTTACTTGACACCTAGGCGGGCGGAGCAGTCAAAGTAGCTAAGGAACATCCACTGAGGGGCTTGGAAATACTCTAATACGGCAAAACTCGGGATGCAAAAATCTTTGTCAAACATATTTTAAGTGTGATGCACTTTAGCTTTTGAAGCAATATTACAGCTTTTGGTTGGAATCTGTTTGAACTAGATCCCACAGATAGTAGCATCCAAAATGCTAAAGGGTTGGTAGCACATTTGATAAGCAGCACTGAGGAGAATGTGAATTCACTGATATAGATATTATAACGTCAATATTAACAATATAAAAGCATCCCATATTGGGTTGGCCTGGCAAGCAGAGTTGTTGTGCGCATATAGTGCTGGCAGACATAAGTGAGGGGAAATTAAATAGAGTAATTAAATGCCATATTCATGTTAACACTATAAATGTTAAGCAATGATACCAACGACCTTCAAATTTGGTTTCAGTAAAACAAAAGACCTCGAAGACCTATAGAAGACTTATTGAAGGTGTTAATACAAACCAAGCCTTATAGACCTCTGTGCTTTAAGTCCTTTGCTAGGGTGGATTATTTAATTTTTTTATAGACATAGGAATTTGATATCAAAAGCTCTATTAGAAAGATGTTATCAACAATTATGATGCACATAGGATTAAACTGCTGGGATTTCTCAAGAAGGGATTATCAGATCAAAAATCTACTATGAGGAAACATATGCAGACATTGTTTTGATCTTAACGATGAAGAGTACATCCATTGATTTACCTCAGAGTCTATAATACAAAGTTATACATTTTTAAAACAAAAAAAGAACATAAAAAAAAACATTTTCAAGGAAAATCTGTTTGGTTTCTTAATTAAATATATATAAAGAAAGTATTTAAAAATATATATTTACACAAAATATTTTTTCATTGTCCTGTCACTTTGAAGACATACTTAGAGGGCAGCATGTCACAATGCTGCTAAAAGACCTCCCATAACTTAATTGATTGACTTTATTGATCTCACAGTTGAGAAATGTATTTGTTAAATCAGCTCAAATAGTCAAAGGAGAAGAATGTGCCAAAGAAAGAAAAAGGTGTATGGATATATACAGTATATACAGTGTGTCCACATATGACAGCTTCTTTTTTTTTTTTTTTTTAACCAACTGGTTTACCAGTATTAGAATAGCTTATCGAGTCCACTAATTGTTTTACTTTGTCTGGAAAAGCTTTACAGATGCTACACAGATGCAGAAAATAAAACTGCAAAGTTATTTACAAGACAGCGTCATATAAATGCCAAATGGTACAAACAGAGAGCAGGTTTTACCACTTAAACATGTTAAATCCCAAAATCAACCATTAACAACATTGGAAGTCTCTCAGTTTATGCTGACTTTCTTGTGCACAAATATGAATGCGTTATATTTCCAGGAAGCAGAAACAAAATAGATCAAACTACTCAAACAAGCTTATAAGACAGTTTTCACTTACCCTTCCTCTTCATCACCGATGGAAAGCAGTTAAAATAAAAACTGAAGTTTTTTGTTAAAATGACCACCATTGCTTATAACTTCAGAAAAAAAGTGATATACATAAAAGAAATATCCTAAAGGGCAAGATTTGTACTTGACACGAACAGACCTTAGAACAAAAAATGAAGGAACATCCTAAAAACAATCACAGAGTTGTTTTGATGATGATGTGGGTTGTCAGATTACATCACATTAGAAAGCAGCTAAAAAGTCAACGGATAAACAGCCCAGACATTAATCCTGAACAGCCTGATTCCTAACATAACACCCCCACAAACACACAGCAATACACACACTTAACCACACTCCCTGAATCTCATTGTTGTTCCTTATTATCTTCACCCTGATTGGTCAGCCAGGAAGCAGATGCTGCTGATGTTGATACAAAAATTACAAGGAAGAGGAAAGCAGGAGCTTGCAGGGATTCCAAGGTAAAGGAGGACGATTTGGGGTGTAGCTTTAAGAAAAAAAAAAAAGAGTAAAAACCAAAAGTGTAGTATTATATTCCTTTATTTACAACCTAATATAAGGATATTTCTATGTTACGTAGCTTCAATACACCCAGAGTGTTATATTTTAAGGTTTTATTTCTGTTAATCTTCACGATTTTTGGTTAACAACTTAAATTCATATATGAGGAATTTCTGACGCAATAGCATACTTATGATAGTTTTCATAAAAAATATCAAATATACTAGAAATATATATTTGAAATGTATTTATATAAATTGATAACATATTTTTATGAAAAAAAATACAGAAATAATATTGTCTTGCTACACTCTAAAAATGAATGCATGTTAACCAAATTTCTAAGGTTCCTTCTATTTTATTCACAGAAGAGGAGCTTTGCAGTTTTGCCACAAGATGGAGTAAGTGAACTGAAACAATTCAAGTTTGGTGTAAGATTAGAAACTGGTTTCCAAAGAAAAGCCTGCAGCTCTACAGAAACAGAAAAACAACAGAACTTTATTTTTACCTTGACATGCATGATTTGGAATTGCATCAAAATCTGTGGAATCTAGTATTTATTGTGTTGTAAAAAAAAACACTTTTCATGTGTTCATTCATCATCTGGAAATTGCAGATTAATTAGCACTGAGCATGGAGCTATTTCACCTTCTATGACAGGGAGGAATGTTTGACATCTGAGCAAACGGTAAACATTCCCATGGTTATGATCCTAATAAATGAGTCAGACAAACACATTTCACAAAGAAACAGACGAGTGATACAGGTACTTTAAGACCAGAAAAACATAGCTCTAGTTTAACAAGACTGGCTGCTAAAAGCTCTCTGTGCACATGTGTAAACAAAGACCTATTTAGCATGTATAAAGCTAAGTGAGTCTAGGGAAATCCCTATCTAGTTACCATGACAGGACACAGTGAACTGGAGATGCCTGTACTGATGGGTGGGGCAGGGCTCTTCATCAACATGGGGCCCCACACTGTCACTCATCCTTCACTCTGTAATTGTGTCCATTTATTGACACCATCTGTCACTGCCAGATTGTAAGAAAGCTGGTGATGGTTATTTATGAACCATGTTTACATGTCTGATTTGGATATTAATTCCAAAGGTTTTTAATCTACAGGGGGTCCCAATAAGGTTTAAGGCTTAAAGTCCCAAACATGGAAAATCAAGCAGCTTAACTGGGATTTATTTTGCATGTAAATAAAATTTATTCAGATGACAGCACAGTGTATATATCAAACTTCTGCTGTTTTTTTGTTTGTCTGTTTGTTTTCCTTTTTAATTCTAAAATAGACTGCAGTGAGGGCTCAGAAAACATATCCCATCATGAGGGCAACCATAAACGTATAAACTAATCAACTTGAAGAATCATTTAAAATCAGATTCAAAATTCTAAAAATGAGAACTGTTGTGTTCTTGTATTTCTCTGTAGAAAGCTTACAAAAGGCGGGTGGCGAAAGAATTGCAATCTTGGGGTGGTAATACCTAAACCAATAACGTTGAAAGAATGCTAAAGGTAGAGTGGAGGATGTTCTTTTTCCGGGTGGATCATCAAAATAAGTGGTCCTCCTAACTGTCAATCATTCCCTACATGCTCATCCCCATTTTCACTTACCGGTGGTGAGTCTGACATAGTTGGAAATTGCAAATCTTCTTTTGAAAAGTAAGCTTGTATGAGTGCTGGAAACAGCAACTTTTAAACAGAGCATGCCCGAGGAGAAATGGGCTTGTGCTTGCTCACGCACGCGTTTTAGAGGCGTTCCCTCTCGGGAGCAGGTATAGGGTTGTGCATTTTTAAGTGGGGAGGGAAAGTCGTTTCAAAAATTCACGAAGATCCTCCACAAAACTTGTAAGTGTTTTTGTGCTGTTGTCAGATTATCCATTAGAGGCCATACGGAAGAGAGTGAAAAAAGTTGCACAATATTAAAAAAATGAAAAGCACACCTGTAATGTAGACACTGAATAGAAGAGGCGTGGGGTTATCCTCCGGTTGAGAATTTAACCTCTATCCTAGTTTCAAGTCTTTTGCAGTCTCTGACAGTTTTTTTTTTCTTGTATATTTAAAGTTGAATATATATGGTTTTATATATTCCCCATCAACTCTGACCAGATTCCTTGTTCCCTCTGAAGGATAGCATCTCCACAGCATAATGCTGCCCCTACCATATTCCACAAAAGGGATAGCCTGTTCAGTGTGATGTGCAGGGATACTTTTAGATCCTAAACAGCATCTGGCTCTGAAAATTTCCTATCGGTCTCATCTGATCAGAGCTTCTTTGCCTAAATATTTACAGTTTCTCCGTCAAAAGCATTG